TTTAAAAAAGAGTAATTTTTAAGTATAGCAAAGATAAAAATCATATTTGTATGTTATAACTATAGTTTGCATAATTGCGCTCCATATCAAATTTTATGTTTGCTATGGAGCTACTGATCTGTATATTTCGGTAATCCTGCCAATTTATATACAATTTGATTGTTTTAAAAATTAAATAAAAAGGCGCTAATTTCTGTTACAAAAAAAATCGATGCTAAGCTCATGCACATTATATTTTAATAGGATTTCTTTTCTTCTACGACTTCTTCATCAAATGGGACTCCATTATATATGTATAAACAAACTAAAACATAGTAATTGCATTTAAACAAAATTACTACATATATACATAAAGAGATTATATAGACATGTATTGTTATGTATAACTATGAAATATATAAAAACAACAAATTATAACAAATAAATGTTAATATCTACTACTACTTGTATATAAAGTGTCTTTTGTGCAAAATTTATAGAATCTGTATAAACAAAATTACTACATAAATATATATATATGTATAAAGAGATTATACCGACATGTCTTGTTATGTAAAAGTAGTGTTTTAAAAAACTCTTATGGGACTCGCCTTGGGGCTCGCCCTAGGGCGGGGTTCTAACAAAACTCCCTGAGACTCAAGTGTGAGACTTAGTTCTGCAAGACTTACTCCCTAAGCGTCTGACTGTACGCCCTAAGTACGACCAACGCCCAACGCTCGGGACTCGCCTAACAGATCGTACACAAATTATGCATTAAATTTTTTAATTAACATTGTTGACCCTCGTAATTCTTGAATAAATGAATGATACATAATAATTTTTTAATCTATAGAGATAAGAAGATTGAGAGTAATTCAAACAACAACTGTAGTATTACGTCTTTACTATTTGTAAAACTGTAAATGTAATTATATATTACGTCACAATTCTTTTAAAAATACGTAGCGAAATTTTACTTTTTCACTTATCATTGGTATTCATGGTTTTGTCATATGTCTCAAAATTATCATATTTTATTTAGCTATTTGAAAGTAATTTTATTTTTATTCATGAAGGAGTGATGTTTTTACTATAATACTAGTAAGTTCATTGATTATTTTCTTTTAGGAGGGCAAATTGTATAGTATGATAAAAAAAATTCTAGAAACAATGATTCTTTTATTACTAGGAAGTTAAGATATTAGATTATTTATACCTGTATAGTCATGTTAGAAGTTTTATTTTCTATGAGTTTCCTTAATCATGTTTGTAATTATTTCAAACTATTGATGTATTTTTATAATTTTGTGTTATTAGATTATTATACTATATTGTAAATTAAAAATTTAAAGATCCATAGGGCTTATGCCCCACGTCTCGAGGCTTACGTCTCACCCTATACGAAGTAAAACGCTCCGCCTCACGCCCCGCCTTTTAAAACAATATGGAAAATCTACAAACAACAAATTATATACAAACAAATGCTAATATCTACTGCTACTTGTATATAAAGTGTCGTTCGTGCAAAATTTATAGAATCTGTATAAACAAACTAAAAATTAGTGATTGTATATAAACAAAATTACTACATATATACATAAAGAGATTATACAGACATGTCTTGTTATGTATAACTATAGCACATATACAAACAACAAATTATATACAAGCAAATGCTATATATATATATATATACAATTAATTTTTATACAACACATAATTGTATAAAGGGAATTCGTATATACAAATATATCTTCTGAGTGGGTCCCGCCAGATGGCAAAAAACATGAAACTTTTGTTGTGAATTACAAATAAAGGAAACTATGACTATAACATTTAATATTAATTAAATATTTGCTATTTCATACAATTTTCCTTTTTTAGAACTATTTACTTTCAATATGTCAAATGCCATAAAAATACTACTTTGTCTAATTTATATGACTCATTTTTTTAGTCAATTTATGAAAGAATGACACATTTTTATATTTAGTAAAAATTTAATCGCCGTTCCAATTTATATGATGTAGTTTAAGTTGACATGAAGTTTAAGAAAAATGGTATAAAACAAGACATAGATATTTGTGTGCCAGTAAATCATTTCATTAGATATAAAATAAAAATTCAAAAGTTAAATTTTTATTAAATACATAATTGTGTCATTCCTTTTGGGGGTAATTAGACTTCTCATATGCTAACCAATAACAAAACCAATAAAATAGTTTTAAACGATTTTCAGTTTTGGTTCTTAACGGTTCACTTTCAGTTTAACCAATAAGAAAATGTTTATAAAATAAATATATGACTTCTCCAACAATTTGACGCGACGAGACAATAATGCAACTTTACAAATGCTCATACACTTGATACAATAATAACTAACATGAAAAGAACTATATAAGTGTAACACCAAGACAAATTAAGAGGAATTGGATTCCTATTTTAGATTTTGACATTTTGTCTACTGTGAAGTTGTGAACTTCAAAGTCAATGTGAAATGTGAATTGGATGCTAAAGGGATAAGGGCCTAGGGCTGTGTATTGGTTGGTTTGGTTCGGTTTTGAAGTTTATCGATTTGGCTTATTGGTTATCGGTTGGTAGAGATGCTAAACTGTTATCGAACCATTAAGATATTGGCTTATCGGTTATTGGTTGATTAATTTTTTATCTTTATCGGTTCGGTTATCAGTTTAACCGTTAAGATTTGACACAAAAAAACATTGAAAATCACTTAGAAACAAGGTGACAAACCAAATGAACCATGCACATGAGTTCACAAGTTACATCTGGCTCAAAAGCAAATATTTTTACATTTTAGAATAACCAAGTGTTTGAGACAACCAGAAATAAAAGTAGGAAACCAAACTCTAAGTCAAAAACTTTATATACAAAATGGTATAAATATAATAATTTAATTTACTATTGGGTTATCGGTTAACCCGTTAAGAAAAAACCTCAAATCGTTAAGAATCGATAACCCGATAAGAAAAAAAAATCAAAACCGCAAAACCAATAACTCAATACTGATAAACCACTAACTTTTTTTCGGTTCGAATTATCGGTTTCAGTTTGGTTTTGAATAGCCCTAGATAAGGCAACCAATAAGGTACTAAAAATAATATTTAGTATTTATGTAGGGTAAATAGTAAATTATTATAGTCTTAATGAGTTACCAGTTTACCCAATCGCCCAAAATTGAAAAATAAAAAATCGAACGATAACTCAATAATTTTTTTATAAAATCATTAACAACTCGTTAACCCAATAACCCAATAGCAATATATTGATAGCATTTTTTTATTCGATTTATCAATCTATTCAATTTTTGCTTTTACAAAAATAAAAAATAAAAAATAAAATTTGTGATGGAAAGTTTATTTAAAAGAAGAATTAAATAACCACATAAATGTTACTAATATATTTAAAATCACAAGTTTTAATTTGGTATTATAATAAGGGAAAATTGCGCTAAGCAAATTTATACAACTTAATTACTCATCATAGCTATAGTTTGCTTTAATTACCACTCGCGACTAACATTAACCATTAATTACGTGGGTTGACCTCCAGTTTGTGTAATTAGCCACGCTTGTATATATATAATTCGCAACTAACAATTTTTTATTTGATTTGTATTTGTATATGACGATGATTTCCTTTGGTTTTTCAGTTTTGTCATCACATATATTCAAATCTTTTTGTGTATAACTTTTTAAAGTTTGTATAAACGTGTAGTTTTCAGATTTTGTATAATATAATTTTTATAATGTAATTTGTATAATATATTTTGTATAATTGAATAAAGTTCATATGTTTATGTTTGTATCAATTCATTATTTCGAGTTTTATCATATTTGTATAATTCCAAACTTTATATTACTCAATTATACAAAAACACGCGAATTATACAAACGTACATGCGAATTATACAAACGATTGTCCTCTCTCCTCCCTCTCCCAATCTCGCTCGCCTCTCATACAAATACATATGTATATCAGTTACATATATACAATTATCTAACCGATCCAAAATATACAAATACATATGTATAGTATACAAATTATCTAACCGATATACATATACAATTCACCTCTCTCCCACTATGTGCCCTCTCTCCCACTCTGTGCCCTCTCTCCCACTCTGTGCTCTCTCTCCTCCCTCTCCCAGTCTCGCTCGCTACTCTCCTTCTTATAACATGTAGCTACAAATCGTAATTAGCAAACTATAACTATAAAGCGCAATTAGGCTATTTTTGATTGGCTATATGCGAAAGTTCCTCTTATAATAATATAGTATTTTTAAAAATCAAATTATCAAACTCAAGTTTTAAAGTTTTCCATACCCGTATCATACTTATAAGTTATAACCTATCATGATTTGAAATATAATGGACATGCAATATGAAATCAAATTGATATGAAGTTGAAATTTGATTGGTCATATAATTTGGGTTTCTTAACTTATCTTTTTCATAAACATAAAAACTCAGAAATTACGAAAACTATCAAAATTTTCTCAATTCTTACTCAATCTTACCAAATCAACAAATCTAGTTTATAAACAGGATATCAAAATATTTTAATTCACCGTATAATATCCATTTTTTAACTCGTAATTTATAAATTATATTTTGTAAATAAAAGTATCATTTTAAATTTTACAACAAAATTCATACTCCGAAGGGAGGAACAGCACAGAAACAGAGTGAACAAACTTGATTCTCTGGGAATCCGATTAACGACGTGAGCTTCATCTGAAATCATCCATTAGAACTTCTTCCCTGGTAATCCGATTACGACGGGGTAAACTCTCGATGGTATCGGTTTCGACATAGGAGTTGGTTCGATTGTATGGTTTGAAGTTCCGATCGAGGTTTAGTCGTCCGGTCAAGGTTCCAGGTCCTGGTCCTTGGCATTGCATATACTCAGTTTCATTGTTGTTGGGTCTTCGTTCATTTTGCTGTGTCGGCTCGATTCAATTTTGGAAAGGAATTTCAGCTATACAGAAGGTTCATTTCTAATCCTATAGTATTTAATTAGTGCTTGGATTTTAATAGATCTATGTGTTACGAATTGAAATGCTTGCCTTTGATTCTTCTGTGATATTTCTTCACGTAGTGTTCTTATCACTGTTAAATTTTGGATTGATATTGAATTGAGATTTTAAGTGTATTTGTTGTTAGACAAAGTAAAGGGATTGTAGTAAGTAATCTGAAACTAAATAAAGTGTTTGAGCTCAGGTTCATGGAATTGATCGTACCGTGGGTGTTGCTAAATATTGAATTCGGGTTTCAAGTAAAAGGAGTTTTGGGTTGTTACGGATGATAGATAGTGTTTGGGTTGGTAGGCAATTCTAGGTCTGTTTAATTGCATGTGTCTTTACTTGCTTTCAATAAATTAATGTACTTATTTCCCGGGAAAATACCCCGAAGAATATTTGTAAAGGAGGAAGGCTGTTCATGGACATGTAGCATAGGATACTAAGATAGGTACTTTCATTTCGGTTTGTAATAAATTTAGATATTGTTTTGAACCCATTTTTGGTGCCCGTGATTGCATCTCTTTGAGTTTTTCCAAATGAGTTACTATTTGAGCCAATACAAGCCAAATAAAAGTCAACTAAAGCGACCGTGCTAAAACAACGAGACTCCAGGAGTGTCTCACACCTTCCTCTCGTTAAATAGAATTTCTTAACTAGAATCTCTGTCATTGACCAGTCTATTTGAGTCAAACTTGTTTAAAAAGGGATATTTGTTTATTAAAGTGACTTGGCACCCCAAAATCCAATGTGAAGTGGCGGCTCCGATTTTAAAAATGAATCCCTTTTGAAACACATTTTTTGTCACTTTCAATCTAGAAAACCCTTTTGGAACTTAAAACGTAAATCTAATCTTTTATGGTTAAAAATGGGGTGTGACAGTGCTATCTTAGTAGTTTTCATGCTGCTTTAGAGAGATGAATAAATTAACATATGTGACTATAATTATTTCAAAAAGGGATATTTGTTTATTAAAGTGACTAGTTCCTGAGTTGGTTATAGTATGCATTCAAGTGGACCCTTTTGTTTGATTGGATCATGGTGCATTTATTATGTAGTGAAGTTGATTACTCCATTAATCTGCTTCAATTATTAGTTTGTTTTGAATTACAAATATTTTGAATATGTGATTATTAAGCAATTGAAGTAGGAAATATGAACGTTTAAACTAGGACTATGTACACTTCGTTAGTTCGTGGTCTTAAGATGTGAAGAATATGCTAGAAGTGCATGATAGAGCTAGATGGAAATTCTATAATAAAGAAGAAACATAATCTGATGTAATGAGTAGAAAATTTGCATATTGTTCTACATTTTTTGCTAGATTACAGACAGGTTTGGAAAGATTTGATTTTCTTGATCAGCTATTGACAGCAAGTTCCCTAGAGGGTGTCATGGGGTTGAGCAAAACTGAAGTGAACTTGAAGAGGTTACTTGTAACTGCACCACAGCAGCAAAATCAAGCAAAGCTTATACATGTATGCACAGGTCATTCAAGTTCAACACTTTAGAGAATTGATAATTGTGTTTGTTTATTTTTCTTTTCATTCTTCCCTATGGCTTGGGTTTGCATGTATGTGAGACTTGTCGTGAACATGGTGAATTTATCAGCTCATTGATTTGATTGTGCTTTTTTTTTTGATAGATATAAATTAAGATATTATATTCTTGAATAGATGATTCTAGTCCTTAAAGGCTTAATCTTTCTGTTACTGTAACATGCCTACACTCTAATATTGGTTTGGCGGAATGACCTGGGAGACCCTTGTATTTGGCTCTGTTTGTCAGTTGAACCCCTATACTCACGATTTTGCCAACTGAACCCTTAAACTTACTAAAACGCAATATTTTAAACACATCTGACCATTGACCGAACTTATGTGGCACTAATATTGCTGAGTTGGAAAAATACTTGACTGCACGCGCCTTAAAGCGAGTGAATATATATTTTTTATATTAGAAATCATTAAAAAAATAATTTAAAATCAACCAATCAGCCCCTCTCCCACCCCCCTCCCTCGCCTGCAACTTTCTTCTTCCTTCAGCCCCCCACCCCCACCCTCTCCTTCTTAAAAATCTGGGTTTTCAAATCTTGTTTGTGAAAGGTTGAAGTTTAGATAATTTTGAAATCTTGAAGAGTAATGGTGTATACTGAAAAATTGATAAACATCCTGAAAAAGCTTGAAGAATAACAAATGGGTTTTATGAATTTATGAAATTAATTCAAAATTATGATGGAAAATTATTGGGTTTGTGTTGGGAAGCTTTAACTGTAAAAAATTTCATGTAAAATAGGAAGAATTAGACCAATTTGACATGAATTTAGTGCTCAATTATGAGCAAATATGAAGAACATGATATTGAAAATTTTCATGTGCAAACTTATTTTTTATTTTTAACATTTAATTTCTTATGTGGCATTAAAAATGACATGGAATTCTACAAAATGACGTGGAATTCCATGTGTAAGCGGTTGTGCTACACTTACACACATAGAATAAGAAAGGGGTTTAAAGTATTGCGTTTTAATGTGTTTAAGGGTTCAGTTGACAAAGTCGTGAGTATAAGGGTCCAACTGACAAACAGAGCCAAGTATAAGGGTCTTCTAGGTCATTCTGCCTATTGGTTTTTGTAATTTAGTTTCATTTTTTAGTCTGTGAGTGTGGGTTTATCTGGATTGTAATTTCATTTCATTTTTCAGTCTTCGAGTGTGGGTATATCTGGTTATCTAATTTGGAAAAGTTGTGCTCGACCTAAATCACATGTTATAGTTACACAAAACAAGACATCTGGTAGTCTTTATTTCCTGGGTATTAAGACTTAAGAGGCTCATTTCTTTGACTTTCATGATATGCTTTGAGATGCTAACTTTGAAACACTTGGCCTGTGTAAATGAACCTTATAGGTATTTACTAGCAGTAGTTTGATGGCTATATGCTTTTCGATATCTTTTTGTTTTCTCTTCCTCTTGCCTATTATTTTGCTAGAGGTTTTGAAGAACTTATGAATTGTGCTATTTCATGGAGCTCATAAAATCTGTGTGAACCGTAAGCATTTTTTTTTTTTTTTGATGACAAGGGAAACCCGCAGCCGCTACCCTTTGGGTGCGCACAGGGTAAAACCCCCGCTCCTATGCAATAGCTCGCAAACCACATAGGAGAGGTAAACCGCACTAGGCAAACCTGGTGCGACGAGCTCGACCCAGAAGGCAAACCCCTTGCTTTCGCTGGCAAGGGGTTTCGAACTTGAGACCTCCAACATGGAAGTCCCAAGCTCAAACCACTGGGCCACCCCGAAGGGTCTTGTTCCTGCTCTTTGTCTCTTGACCAAATGATGAAATGGAATAAGGAAATAATGGATGACCATGAGCACCTTACAACCAGATCAAAATGAAAAGGATACTCCACCACTAAGTTGACACTAGATTCATTAAGTAAATAAAACCCTACAAAATAAAATAAAAAAATTGTAGAAGCATAAGCCATTAAGGTTTCATGAGCAATTGAACCGTAAGCATTTAAGAAAGTCTTCTTTCTATTTTGGAAGCTTTATATATTCGAGAGCAGCTTCAAGTGAACTGATAGCTCTGTTGATTCACCAACAGAATGAAGGGTAACGAGGATTTCCACTGTTCTGATACCAGTACGAGTTCATCCATAAAGAAGGCTATGTATCTTCATCCTACTTGGGCTGATTAAGTGGGTCTTTCCTCAAGTAATTTTATATGGACTGTTTAGGAAAAGATGAACCATTGTGCCTTTGATGGACAGAGAGGCTAACGGTCAACTCTGTCCATTGTTAAATATACTCTCCTATTTTAGTTTATTATTGAGTAAAACTATAATGGAAAATGATAGTGTTCTATGGCTTTAGTATTGGGACTTCAGTGCATACAGAGTACTTGCATTCTCTAAGGATGCATCTTTTTGGGCTTTGCAATACAAATTTTGTATACAATGTTGTACCTCACTTGCATGCCTTCAACACATTTACCTGTCAAATATATTTTTTGGAGCATAAGTACTTTTCTGATCTCAACATGGTGATTAAATTAGTAGTACTGCAATATCACCATATCTAGGATGAACAGGGCTCAGGAAGGCTCGTCCACCTACTGAAGTTTTTTAATCAGATGTAGGATGAGAGATAGAGTCATAGTAATACCTCTGTTAGAATAGGAATAGGTTTATACAATCCTATTAGAGTAGCAATAGCAATAGCAATAGAAATAGAAATAGGAATACTAAATAGTATCCTACTTGGTAAAGGATTGTAGTAGTGTCTATAAATAGGGTCTTTGTGTAATAATGTAGACACAACAACAATTTCAATAATATTCTTCTCCTATATTTCTCACAACCTCCTTGTCTTCCCTAATCTTCTGTACAAACATGCATCAACTGTTTTTTTTTTTATGTCTCTGATGGAGCCTCTGTTTCAGGAAGCTGATCTGCTCCTTTTCCGTTGTATGTTTTCTGATGTAGTTGTTATATGTGAAAGTTGATAATTTTCTATGCTCACAGCTGCAACTTGCGGCATAGGTTGTTTCTACTTTCTATGTTTTCAGAAAATCATGGCATAGGCAATTACTTGTACAATTTTTGTCATCTGAATTTTTTCTTCATAGGGCATATGCATTTACTATTTCCTTTTGTTACATCTTTCACAGTATGTTGCCACTTTGCGGGAACTACTGGAGCAGTTGGCTGACGAGAGGAATTCTGATGGATTACCAAGGTCTATATGCTTTGTTCTTTTCCAATTAGATAATTTGAAGAGAACAGAAAACTACAAGCTGCTACAAAAACTTCCAGATTGTTGGTGTAACAAAGAGGTTACTAAGGAACAATAACAATAGTTCTCAAGGACACCTTTGTATTGATAAACTGAACCAACTACACTTCTGTAAACAACAACAATACTTGATAAACTATATTTAAGGCAATCTGAAATACAAGAAGAAATAACTAGTGATAGATAAGAGAAATGGGATGAGAAGATAGATTGAAGAAGGAGATGAGAAACTAGAGAAATAGAGGTGAGAAATCAGAAAGATCCATCATGATTTTGTTTGCCCCATTATGCCCAGTCCTTATTCTGTTTATACATTTTGTTGCAGCAAACTTTGTCCTTTGTCACGTGACCTCCCACTCTTCCAAACGTAATCGCCAAGTCTTTTAGGAGGAATTACTCTTCTAGAACTCTTACGTGGCATATCCATGCGATTATTCTCCGTGGCATCCCCCATGTCATCCAGGTCAGCAACTTGATTCCTCTTGTTCACAACAATACTCCCTCCCTGAAAAACAACCTTGTCCTCAAGGTTGGGATTAGGTTGATCTGCTAAAGATGTTGTGTCTGTGAGCTGCAATGGAGTGACTTGTTGAACTGGTTCACCAACACATCGTTTCAAGGCAGAAACATGGAACACAGAATGAATTTTGGCAGCCTCGGGAAGATCCAATTTGTAAGCCACGACACCTACACGTTTCAGAATTTTGTAAGGCCCAAAGTAGCGCCTCCCCAACTTGTGATCGCGTTGCAAACGCAGAGTAGACTGCTTGTAAGGTTTAAGCTTCACAAAGACCCAATCCCCTACCTCATATGTAATCTCAGTGCGAGATTTATCTGCAAAAGCCTTCATGCGATTCTGAGATTTTACCAAATTATGCTTGAGTAGTTGTAACACTTTGTCCCTCTGCAGCAAGAAGGACTCTACTAACTCACTGGATGTACTTCCTAATATATATCGTGCAACAGTAGGAGGCTCACGCCCATACAAAGCCTGAAAAGGTGTCATTCCAGCGGAAGTTTGGTACGAAGTATTGTACCAGAACTCTGCCCAAGGCAACATGGAAACCCAAGTAGCAGGAACATCAGCAACATAGCATCTTAGGTACTGCTCAACACACTTGTTGAGGGCCTCAGATTGGCCATCCGTTTGAGGGTGAAAAGCTGTACTCATTGCCAACGTGGATGCCTGCAAATGATGAATCTCCTGCCAAAAAGAGTGCAGAAAGCGAGGATCTCGATCAGTTACAACAGTTCAAGGGGTTTCGTGTAACCTGATAACCCAAATCACGAATGCTTCAGCTACCGTATAAGTTGAGAAGGTGGATGGTAAGGGTATAAAATGCCCATATTTGGTGAGACGATCCACCACAGTCATGATGGTAGTCTTGCCTTTGGAGCTAGGAAGGCAAGTGATAAAATCCATGGCAATATCCTCAAAGACTTGGTCCGGTATTGGCAAAGGCTGAAGTAAACCTGCCGGGTGCAAGTGAGAGTCTTTCATCTGTTGGCAAATGTAGCAAGTTGCACCATTCGGGGTGGCCCAGTGGTTTGGGCTTGGGACTTCCATGATGAAGGTCTCAAGTTCGAAACCCCTTGCCAACGAAAGCAAGGGGTTTGTCTTCTGGGTTGAGCTTGTCGCACCGGGCTTGCCTAGTGCAGGTTACCTCTCCTATGTGGTTTGCGAGCTATTGCATAGGAGCGGGGGTTTTACCCTGTGCGCACCCAAAGGGTAGCGGCTGCGGGTTAAACTTGTCATAAAAAAAAATGTAGCAAGTTGCGACAACAGACTGGACATCCTTGCGCATATGCTTCCAAAAGAAGTTGGAGGCCAATCAATGGTAAGTCCGAGTAACCCCAGCATGACCCCCAATAGAAGTGGCATGAAACTCAAACATCAGCTTATGGCGCAAAGGTGAATCAGTAGGAATTACTATCCGACCTTTGTAAAATAATATCCCCTCCTTAAACTGGTAATCAACAAAGTCCTCATCCGATCTTTGTTTCGCTTGTTGTATTGCTAGTAACTCCGAGTGATTAGCATTTAGTTGTCTCAATTCTTGTTCTAGTTCAAGTGACGTAATAGAGATGGTCATATAGGCTGCCTCAAAGTTACAAGAAAGTGCATCTGCAGCAGCATTCTGTTTCCCAGGCCTATAGACTATCTGGAAATCAAACCCCACTAACTTCGTGAGCCATTTTTGTTGCTCAGGAGTTTGAATAGTCTGATGTGAGGCTCTTCAATGATTGTTGATCAGTAATAATAGTGAATTTGCGCCCCAACAAGTATTGCCTCCATTTACTCACAGCTTGAGTTATTACAAACATTTCTCGATGGTAAGTGATGCCTTTTGCATTTGGGCGCTCAATTGTTGACTGAAGTATGCAATTGGATGACCCTTTTGAGAAAGTATAGCACCAATGCTTTGCCCCGACGCATCAGTCTCAACCTGAAATTCTTGGCCAAAGTCAGGCAGACATAAGATAGGAGTAGAAACCAGTTTGGCCTTAAGAGTGTCAAAGGCCTGTTGCTCTGCCTCTGTCCATTGATAGGAGTCTCGCCGCAGCAAGTTATACAGTGGCCCTGCTATTGCTGCAAAATGGTGAATAAAACGTCGATAATACCCAGCAAGTCCAAGGAAACTACGCACCTCTTTTACTGTTTTAGGAGGGTGCCATTGTTGTATCACCTCAATTTTATTCGGATTCACTGCCAAGCCTTGCGCCGAAATAATGTGGCCCAAGTAATCAACTGATGGCTGCCCAAACAAACACTTAGAGCGCGTAGCCCCTAATTGATGTTGTCGTAGTAATTGTAAGACAGTCTCCACATGCTCCAAATGAGTGTTCCAAGAAGGGCTGTAGACCAAGATATCGTCAAAAAATACGAGAACAAAGCGACGCAAGTGCGGCCTGAAAATCTCATTCATTTTTGCCTGGAAGGTTGAAGGAGCATTAGTTAATCCAAACGGCATTACTAAGAACTCATAGTGACCATCATGAGTTCGAAAGGCTGTTTTAGACACGTTCTAAGGCGTCACACGAATTTGGTGGTAACCTGAGAGTAGATCAAGCTTAGAAAAATAATGAGCCCCATGCAATTCGTCAAATAATTCATCAATAGTTGGGATTGGGAACCGATCCTTCACTGTGATTGCATTGAGCGCTCGATAGTCAACACAAAAACGCCAAGTGCCATCTTTCTTTCGAACCAGCAACACCGGCGATGAGAATGGGCTGGTGCTAGCCCGTATCACCCCTTCTTTAAGCATCTCAGAAACCATTTGCTCCATGGCATGTTTCTGAAAATAAGGATACCTATAGGATTTAACATTCACTGGTTGTGCCCCAGAATTGAGATGTATAGCATGGTCCTGGATACGGGAAGGTGGCAATCCCGATGGTTTTTGAAATACATCAGCATATAGTTCTAACAAAGTTGCTAATTCCACAGTAGGCTGCTCTATAACAGAGTTATATCCAGTAACTATCTCCAGACAAAAACAGGATGCAATGGCTTCCGTAGCTTCCTTTCATCTTAAGCTATGCAGTTGTACGGGTTGCACATCAGTCGGAGATTCACCCTGCCATACTACTTGGTTTCCTCCTACATTGAATTCCAACGTTCTCGTCGCATAGTTAGTGAGCACTGGACCTAGTTTTGCCAACCAAGAAACCCCGAGAACAAGGTCGGCGCCATGTAGTGACATGATATACAGGTCTTCAATGAGTGTAGTTCCCTTAATCAACACTGTGATGCCTCTGGCCACTCCATCACAGCGGAGGCGCTGGCCACTCCCCACAACAACAGGGAAGCTAGAGATGGTTTCAGTGGACAATTGCAGGAAGCGTGCCACTCGTTCCTGAATGAAATTATGGGTACTTCCTCCATCCACCAAGATCTGAATCGAAGTTCCATTCACTTGCCCTGTAAATCGAAGTGTAGAAGGTGAACTTCCTCCGGCAAGTGCATTGTAGGAAATAGCGGAATGTTCCTGTAACTCTAAGCACTGCAAATCCTGAGCCAAAATATCATCTGTGACAAAAGGGTCCAACAATAGAGGGTCCATAGTTGACCCATCCGTAAGGAGTAGAAGATGAGGTGGGGTTTTACATTTATGGCCTACAGTATACTTCTCTTCACAGTAATAACAAAGACCACGCTCTCGACGGCTTTGGATCTCAGCTTGTGTTAAACGCTTGAGTGGTGGTCTATTATGTGTTGGGGTCGATAAAAAAGCAGGAACAATGGACTTAGAAGATGGATCATGAAAGGTTTTGGTGCTAGGGTTTGGAAGCAAGGCTGGAATCCTATTAGCAAAGGCGGGTTGAACATGCCCCTTTTCCGCCTGGATCCTCTTCTCATGTATATGGGCCAAATCAAGAGCTTCCTCAAAACTTTTAGGTCCATGAGCAAGTACAGAACCCTTAATATCCTCTCTTAGCCCAGAGATGCACAGACGAACCATCAGCCTCTCTGAGATATCATTGGTCTGGTTTGCCATAGCCTCAAAACGTCCCTGGAACTCTGATACCGTGGTCGTCTGACGGAGCTTCGCCAATCTTCCCTCCGCTGACTCAAGCCCTTTTGGTTGAAAACGGATCTTCACTTTTTCAACAAAATGGTCCCATCCGACTAGTTGTTTGTTACGAAACAACCATCGGTACCAATCCAAGGCTTCTCCATCAAGGTAAAAAGACGCTAAGGTATATCTGTGTGCTGCCGCGATGCCATAGAAATCAAAGTAACGCTCGGCCTGAAATAGCCATGCTTCTGGGTTTTCACCACCAAAACGACCCAACTCAACCGAAGCTGGTTTATGACGAAGGGTTGGTGCCGTTGGAGCATCCATGAACGGATCTCGTTAAGGAGCACCCATCAGAACTATTTTCCCCACCATCTCTTGGAAAAAGGCTCGCATGTCAGCGAGATCCTTGGCGAATGAATCCTTTACTTCTTTCATTGATTCTGCAATTAGAGCCTTGAGTTGTTGGTCCTCCATTAAAGACCTCTGGATGAAAGCACCAATGTAACAAAGAGGTTACTAAGGAACAATAACAATAGTTCTCAAGGACACCTTTGTATTGATAAACTGAACCAACTACACTTCTGTAAACAACAACAATACTTGATAAACTATATTTAAGGCAATCTGAAATACAAGAAGAAATAACTAGTGATAGATAAGAGAAATGGGATGAGAAGATAGATTGAAGAAGGAGATGAGAAACTAGAGAAATAGAGGTGAGAAATCAGAAAGATCCATCATGATTTTGCTTGCCCCATTATGCCCAGTCCTTGTTCTGTTTATACATTTTGTTGCAGCAAACTTTGTCCTTTGTCACGTGACCTCCCCCTCTTCCAAACGTAATCGCCAAGTCTTTTAGGAGGAATTACTCTTCTAGAACTCTTACGTGGCATAGCCATGTGATTATTCTCCGTGGCATCCCCCATGTCATCCAGGTCAGCAACTTGATTCCTCTTGTTCACAACAGTTGGTTTCCTTACTATCTGTGACTGTTTTTTATAAAGTCCCTGCCTTCTGTTTGTTTAGTTTGAATTATCATTTAAATTTAAATGTATGCTTCCTAGCCTTTTCACTCTACCTAATCAATAAAGTGGAAACCCCTTATCATGGTCGGTTAGATGGAAACTCACCCTCCTTTGATCTCAACTCTGCCTACCCTCCTCCAAATTGGACATATTTTAGCTATATTTTTTGTAGAGTGGACTAATATCCTGCCTATAATGAAAAAATCGCATCCTGACAGTATGACTAGTCTATTTTATCTCCTTCTATGGAGGAAGTTATGATGCTCTATGCAGACTGTGAGAAATATAAGAAAAGAATATTATTAAATTGTTGTTGTGTACATTATTACATTGAGATCCTATTTATAGACCCTAGAATACAATCCTTTACCAAGTAGAATACTATTTAGTATTCCTATTTCTATTACTATTCCTATTCTAATAGAATTGTATAAACATATTCTTATTCTAATAG